CAAAAAAAAAACAATTTGGTCTAGCACCTTCCGTTCATTTTAATTACACCCAAGAACCCATTTTCTATAAATTTAATTATGTTCCTGCTACTTATATAAGGACTAGTGTTTGGATTTAGTACACACAATACATTTAGTAGATCAGTGAATTTAGTAGAAATCAGGTATCTGCCACAAATAGATAGTGTAGGAAGGGAATGATCTAAACGTTACAAACAGATAACCCTGGAATGGTAGAGGGTTTCATCTTCGCAAATGTCTGTTGTATTACAGCATTTTGTTCATCATACAGATCATTCTACTTTAATCCTTATACTGCAATATAAGTATATACAGTTCATGTAATGGAATTGTTTACTATGTATTCATTATATTTCATAGGAATCCAACAACGTAAGGTATGATTATTGAAGGTCTATTTAGTTGTGACCGATGATTAGTTACCACTCATAACCATTGAATTAAAATGACATTTAATTTTTATTATTCGTTTAAAATTTAGCCAGGAATTGTGTTCCAGATGACTTCAGGTTAAGTCTAGAAGGGAATCGTGGCATTTGCACTCGATAAAATCCATAATAGTCCAGTCAATAAAGGGATTGTAGAGGACATGGAGAGGGGGAAATTTTTTTTCTGCGGGAATGTGTTCGGGGTAGTTAGAAGATAAAAATACCAAAAGTCCCCGCCCCTGGCCCTGCTGCTTCAGCGGGGGGAGGGGGGGGGGGAAAGACCCCATTTTTTAGTTTTTTACTTCTACACTGAAAACCGTTCATCGTACGGAAAAAATGTAAATTATAAAAAGAAAGATGATGAAATTCTCTGCAAGAATGGTCATATTCATTTCTTCCGTATATGCATTGGTTTAAAGGATATTCTCAAAATAATATAAAAATTCTTAAATAAATTGATTTTCACGCGTTTTTTATCAAATAAGTTTATATAATCCATTAGCCTGTTGTTGTTTCACATCAATCAGGATAGAAAACAGGTTTTCGAACACTAACCTATATAATATAATATATCAATCGTATATATTGTGTTAAAAATAGTTTATATAAATTTAAATAATTCATGTATATTTGTCATGGAAACAAGTAATTTTGGCATAATTATTACACTAAAAATTAAAAAGATTATGTTTGTAGCTATATTTGTCCAGGTTTATTTATAACAATTACCGAAACCAATATTATTGTTCATGGTCTGGCTCACTTGGGACGAGAGGGTCCGACTTCTGTCCCAAAAACTGGTGCCATCTGGAACTGAAAACCACCATCTAGGACATCTCCATCATTCAATTCTTGTTTATTAGACTCAATATTGGCTATCGAAGTGAGAATTCGGTGTAGGCCTGTATATTCTTTCTGTGGATTTGTATAAGTTAAAAAAATTATCAAGATTTAAAGGATTGTTAACGATTCTCACGCATAAGGTTATTTGGCAAAGGGGATCTTGAGTGCGATATGTGATGGATAAGTGAGGTACGTGGATACATATTACCTTGTAAGGTAATTCATTGTTGTTTTTGACGGATATAGCAATTCAGAAAACAACATGAAGATGACAGACCAAGAAAGACGCTACAGATTGAAAAAGTCAGTAGTAGTGGTGGTCCCAGGATTTAATTTCCGGGGGGGGGGCCTCCGGTGGTTAACCCCCCCCCCCCGGAAAAAATGTGGAATTTGAAGCACAATAACGTATTTTTATATGCATTTGAGCTCTAAAATATCTTTAAGCTAATAGTATTTTTGTTAGCTAGTAAAATATTTTGGAGAGGATATATACCTCCCCCCCCACTAAGGGACCGCCACTGGTTAGTAGATATTCATTTGAACAGAGGAACCGATATTATAGTAACCAGGAACAGTCAATCAAGTATTTTGCAAATGTACTAAAGATTATAACAGTGCCAGATGTGCAAGTTGTGCATGCAAGAAAATGTCCAATAATTGTTCTCCGTTATGCCAGAACTGCTAAGGGAACTTTTTACATGAAATGCCTATTCTGATGAATGAGGAAGATGAAGAGTATACAGGCCTACACCGAATTCTCACTTCGATAGCCAATATTGAGTCTAATAAACAAGAATTGAATGATGGAGATGTCCTAGATGGTGGTTTTCAGTTCCAGATGGCACCAGTTTTTTGGACAGAAGTCGGACCCTCTCGTCCCAAGTGAGCCAGACCATGAACAATAATATTGGTTTCGGTAATTGTTATAAATAAACCTGGACAAATATAGCTACAAACATAATCTTTTTAATTTTTAGTGTAATAATTATGCCAAAATTACTTGTTTCCATGACAAATATACATGACTTATTTAAATTTATATAAACTATTTTTAACACAATATATACGATTGATATATTATATTATATAGGTTAGTGTTCGAAAACCTGTTTTCTATCCTGATTGATGTGAAACAACAACAGGCTAATGGATTATATAAACTTATTTGATAAAAAAACGCGTAAAAATCAATTTATTTAAGAATTTTTATATTATTTTGAGAATATCTTTTAAAACCAATGCATATACGGAAGAAATGAATATGACCATTCTTGTAGAGAATTTCATCATCTTTCTTTTTATCATTTACATTTTTTCCGTACGATGAACGGTTTTCAGTGTAGAAGTAAAAAACAAAAAAATGGGGTCTTTCCCCCCCTCCCCCCGCTGAAGCAGCAGGGCCAGGGGCGGGGACTTTTGGTATTTTTATCTTCTAACTACCCCGAACACATTCCCGCAGAAAAAAAAATTCCCCCTCTCCATGTCCTCTACACCCCCCTTTTGAGCATTCATTGACTGGACTATAAGTGATTGGCGGGATTTGAACCCAGGACTTCAGGGACCAAAATCCCGCGCTCTTCCACTAGACCAACTCGCTCATTCAATAGTGAAAAAGTGGTTATCGTGTTTCATTCAGAGCTGGTGGAATTTAAATTGTGAACATCAGCTCTGACAAACAGCTTCATTACTGTAAGGAGCTTAAACAATCGACGTGGCGCTTTTGTGTTTGTGCTATTGTTTATTTTGATTAATTGTTTTGTATCCTTTCACAAAAGTACTTTTCAAAAGATTATTACCGATTTAAAGAAAGATGAGGTGCTTTCTGTGGATATTATATTCTTACTGCAATGGTTATTGCTAGTTGACACGCTAAGGAAAGTGGTTTTAGATTTTGCATTTTTTTTAGAATTTAAATAGTCACTAAACATGTCATGATAAGACCTAAATCCAGAACGTATTTATTTTTTCGTTTTTATTCCTCCAGAGGTAAAAAAACAATCCGTTAAAATCTATATTTATTAATAGGCAAATACCACTCACTCATTGATCACTATGTCTCATAAACTACAAATCGTAAAAACTCAGAAATAGGCATGGAGATTCCACTTAAACTCTAGATGTGCAATATGAGGACAGGCAAAACATTTAGTTAAATATACCATGTAAAACCACAGTTTTGGACTAACTGGTTATGCGTAAAGTATAACCGATACGAAAGTTAAAACACTTAAACATGGATTATTACTAAATTACATAATGCTTAAAAGAAAAAAAATTATGAATAATAATATTTTTGTCAATAAAACTAATCTTGGGAAACTATTCTTACATTTGGTTCGAATTGTTCTTGAACGATATAAAATATCCATAAAAAACATGTTTCTCATTTAACTGTATTTCATGGCTTCTGATTTTTAACAACCATTAAACATTAAAAGTATAGTTCTATACGATTACACGAATAATGTAACACATAAGATAAACAGTCAAGTTAAATCAATGTATACGATACAGATTGTAGTCAAATATACAACTATCATGTAATGGCTGCAAATAATCGAGTTGAAATCGATGGTCTCTGTACATGACATCGAGGTGGTGAAATATGTTGGTGACGCTAAGTTATAAATGGATATTTTATATTTGCACACTTATTGCATATGTGCTAAAGATTATCTATCACCTATATATATATAAAGTATCCTGGATTTTAGGATGATAAATATAGTTTATTTACGTATTAGACTACAACGATTTTCTAAATGTAGGATTTGAAAAGTGTGACCTTGACTAAAGTTAAACATTGTTATTGTAATAGGTAATCCATTACAATACTTTATATTGCTCAAATTAAAGAACCTCTATTGGTGATGTATTCATGGGTTTACCTTGAATTTATTTCCTATAAATGTTAACGTATTTTAACATGTTATATTTGTTAAATGTTTTGTTAAAGAAAGGTTTATTATGTAACTTTAACACGTACTATATCATAACACAATTTTTATCAGATAACATTTTAAATTTTACCTTTTGTTAATACACTAGTAAAAACATTTTTCATCTGGGCAAAATCCTGACTTGAATTAAAAACTAGCAACGTTCAGAATTGAAAGTGAACACACTAACTATTCGGTATAAAGTGGCGAAAAGACAGTTATAATAATAATTGACAGCCTTCACAGTTAATAAAAACAATGTAAAATTGTACAAATGAGTTTCAATCACGTGTTGCCAATCTATCAATTTAATGTTAAGGTAAATACATCTTGGTTTACACTATAAAATAATATTAAAATACAAGTACAAACATGGTGACTGGTTTTCGTCCCTCAATCATTATATTTGTTTCACTATAAAAGTTTAAGAAATATTATAGGCATTTACACTACTACATAAAACTAATTTAAATAGACAACTGAAATACTATTTTCAAACCATTAGGTAATTTATAATAAACAAAACAACAACTTAAATAATGTAACAGGTATTCACGTTCGAGATATATTTGGTTTCAAAATAGTCTTATTTTCTTATCCCGGACCTGTTTAACCCTGTTGTAAATATAGTCAATGTTTTCTCTGTCAATTCCGTACCATATGAGCCTTACAAGCTGTCGTATCATTCCAGGACTTGGTTTTACATCTGAAAAAGGAAGATAAGGGATAAAAATACACGAAGCCACATTTGTAAACGTTTTATTCGCTATTATGAATACATAATGGACTCACGTCTATTATCAAGAGCCTTTTAGCGTTAAGTTCTTACCTTACGTGAAATTATTTGTTAGTTAAAAAAAGTTTTTTTTTTACTTTAAGCATACTGAAAGACTTCAATAAAGCTAGCCTAGAACTCAAAATTTTTTGCTATCCTGATCAATCTTGTGCATGAACTATATATAAAAAAGAAATTTATTAAATCATGGCATCCTCTAATACAAGGCCGTAGCGAGACAAAAGTGGCAACGTTGCAGCCCAGGCCTACCTAAACAGCTGTTGCACTAACTCATAAGATCATCTGCACAATGTTTTTGTTTACACGTTTGTATTACCATGGTAATAGACCGGCCTTTGCGACGTTGCCACACACCAACACCACGGACTTGTATTCCAGAAGGCTATGTTACACTTTGTCAAAGTGTTTGCTTATACATTAAGGGATCAATGGTAAAATTGCAGTTTTAACATAAAATACACATTATGTGACGTCTAATAAAATCCTATAAATCTATTATTTGTGTGGATACAGTTTCACTTGGTTCAGTTTCACTAGGTTCGGGGTCGAAAATCTTTTCTAATTTTAAAGGAGTGTCTCTAATCTGCACAACCTCATAATCTTTCTTGATGTACTTCTTTTTTACACCGAGATAAATAAGTTTCTGTAACGTCTTGACTGTTTTATCGGCTGGTTTCTTTACTGAAATATGAATTATGTATTAAACATACAAGGAACAAGTACCTACTTATATCCTATTCCGCCAGCTAATAGGCGAATGACAAGAGCCTTGAATGGCGTCCATACTTATATCCTTAGGATATAAGTAGGGACGCCATTCAAGATTCTTCTCATTCGGGTATTATCCTCTGGGTAATAATATGATGATTTGAGTGTCCAATCGAAATCGATCACCACTTACCATCTTTTAAATATATTTACCTTCTTGTGTGTTAACAGTATGAGCGTAAATATATGTTTCAAGTGTTATTAGACGTAGCTTTTATTTACTTTCCGGAATTTTTATGTTCTAATTATTACAAATACATTATGGGATAACTTAATGTTTTGGGACCTGAATTCGGTTCGTGTTGGGCTACCACATGGGGATATGGTTTATACGCCTTTAAAAACACAAATACAGCTAAATACCACAAACAGAAACTCCAAAATGCCATTTTAGTGTACACCTATCATAGTAACAGTGTCTACCGGTCGTACACGTTCGTATTTAAATATGAAAATTGGAACAACATTTGTCAAAGCGAACGTGTTAAATCACAATCCCGTCTGACTGCTGACGGCTGTCACTGACAGAGAAATATTGCATGAATGACAGTTATCACTATATTGTCACTCGCTCTACTATTCGCAGAATACTAAGTACATGTCACAAAAAAATGTGGCATCACAGAGTTTATTTTTCGTAATGTTGTTATATAAGGGTATTGGGGTAGTTGTAGTTGCAGGTAGGTTTATAATTCCTACCATACTATAGTGATTAAATTTAAAACGGTTTACTTGAAGTGTTCAATAAACAAAGAAAAACTACTGTTAGTCGGTAAATAGATACGTTAGTAGTTTTCCCGTACAAGAATATGATGCCAACGCTAACAATCTCAAGTATGAGAAACTACTCAAACCTCTTTGTATATGGCTATTACTTTGTGTTAGGATAGTTAGGTAACTTATGATACTTTGTAACTTTATACTTACCCAAGTAGTTTCCAATAAATGCTACATCATACTTGTTTCCCCACTCTAAAGTGTAAGGCAGTGTTTTTTCAGACGTGACATCCCATCCTCGCCCTTCGTAAATCTCTTCGTTTGGAGATATCAAGAAACTGTAAAAAGAGTTGTACAATATAAAGGTCGTTGCAATGGATTGTAAATTGCACAAATTTGTGTGGTTTTGGAAAACTATAAAATTAAATCTATTATTTCGTAAAATTTAAACAATTTTTGTTTTGTAAAAGGGTTATTATTGCAAATTGTTTTATGAAAACATACTTTGACAACACATACTAAGGCTACAGAAATAATTATAAGTTTCAATACAATATTAACCAATTATTGTCCAATTATTCTTTACTTCGATGGTTTTAGTTGCTGCAAATAAAACGAAATAAATATAACTTACGATACTACAATACAAGAATCGTTTCTCTTTACACTAAATGTATGTAACACAAAAATGTATACTAAATACAACCAAAATGTCTTAAAACTTTTTATATACATAATATATCTTAGTAAATTTGCTTTTATGAAAATAGATTATTCATTGAGTATTAAACACAGTACCATTACCTTTATACTATGTACGAATATTTATTCTATACTACCTTATTTATTATTATCTTTATACTAATATTCAGTATATATTTAGTGTGATGAAACAATATTGAACACCGAAATATAGATGGATTTTATTAAAATATTTGGGTACGTCAATAATTGTAAAAATAATAAATTTAGAATTAAACTTTTTGTAAATAGTTTGTTTAATGATTTAAGGTGATAAATATGAAAAATGTGGTTTTCCAAAACAAAAGCTATCATAGGTACCTACCCAAATAAAAGAGTTGGTGACAACCTAACGGGAGAGAAAATATGTGCCCAATTGCTGATATCGTTTATTAATCATAGTGCCGCAAAGTTGTCACTGCAGCCTTAAGAAATACAGGGTGTTGAAAATGTCTGGAACCAACATTATATCTGGTGAGTGGTTAAAGAAAAACAACTGATATTTTGTGTACGGATATACTATGGTTTTACCTATCTTTTAGTGCCTTGTACAATTTTTTACCACTTATAGGGAACGTCCTGTGGAGGATGCAGTAAAAAGTTGTAATGGAAGCCTATGGTAAATGATACATCATTTTAAAGGCAATTTTTTTCTGAGTAAGGAGCCACAAGTTTCATCTCAAAAGGACCACCTTAGCAAAAATGGCGACTGTTTGAAATTTAAAAACCCACTTATAGGGAACGTCCTGTGGAGGATGCAGTAAAAGGTTTCAATGGAAGCCTATGGTAAATTATACATCTTTTTAAAGGCCATTTTTTTCTGAGTAAGGAGCCACAAGTTTCATCTCAAAAGGACCACCCTAGGAAAAATGGCGACTGTTTGAAATTTAAAAACATTGCTATTTAAATGTTCCTTATTTGTTTCCTTTAAATGCTATTACAAGCCAGTTACGAAGTACAGTAGTTTATCACGTGATGAACTGAAAAATGACTTTTAAAGTGTTGAATAAGATTTAAAATTCTAATTATTAAATTTGTATGTAGAAACAGATAAATAAAACAATGACTTACAGATTTGTAAATGAAGTATGGAAATTCCAGTTCCAAAGTGTTTTACAAAATTAAAGCAAATGTTCAAAATGTTTTCCTTCCACAGTCTGACAATGTGCACTTCGAGTGTAGAAATCTGATACAGCATTGTGAAAAGCTTCTTCAGAAATTTTGCGTGTTTCTTCCATAATTCGCTGCCTCAGATCATCTAAGTCACGTGGTTGTGTTTTGTAAACATTATCTTTCAAATGCCCCCAAAAGAAATAGTCTAGTGGGGACAAATCAGGAGATCTTGGAGGCCATTCAACTGCTCCCCTTCGACCAATCCATTGTTGAGGGAATTTTTCATTCAAGTACTGTCGTACTTGTATTCCATAGTGAGGAGGTGCTCCGTCCTGCTGAAACCAGACGGTAGGCAGCTTTTGGCCAAATAGATTCTCAATAGCAGGAAGTATTTGATTCTGGAGCATATTTCGATAAATCTCAGAGTTTAAATTATCATTTTTATAAAGAAAGGCCAAATTACTTGGCGTCCACATATGCCAGCCCAGACATTTAATTTTTGAGGATGCTGGGTATGAGAATCTACCATCCAGTGAGGATTTTCACTTGCCCAATACCTACAGTTGTGCCTATTTACGTGCCCATTCAGGGTAAATGAGGCCTCGTCAGAAAAAAACTGAACAATTTAAAAAATCACGATTTTCATCACACTTCCTCATCATTATTTCGCAAAACTCCATTCTCCTATCAAAATCATCTTCATTTAGTTCTTGTAATAAATGGATTTTATATGGCTTAAAATTGTTATTCTTCAAAACATTGCGCACTGAAGTGAAATGTACATCCTGCTCTTGGGCTACCTTTCTGAGGGAAGTATGTGGATTTTCTACAAAACTCTGCAAGGTATTCAGGGAATGTTCGTCGTCTGTCGCACTTTTTGGTCTTCCAGATTTTGGACGGTTCTTTACACTACCGGTCTCTTCAAACCGTTGAACAGTTTTTATGACTGTTGCGTGAGGTATTGGATTCCTATCTGGAAATAAATCACTAAACAAGTCTCGCACTTCACAAAAGGGCCTGACACGGTCACCATAGCCTCGCATCATTAATAGCGTCACGCGTTCACGTTCTGTTAATTACATTGCAGTATACAACAACAAAGCAGAAGAACACACTATTACCTGGTCTGAACTCCACTCAGGAACAGACTGAAAAGTATATCTAACGACTTTGGAAAACCCTACTTCCCAAAACAAGCAACACTTTTTGTTAAGAGAAAGCGGCTGCTATCAGAACTTTGACCTGTTATTCTCATTCTACAACCTAATGTAATCCATTTACAAACAAATAATACAGTTATAAAACATAATTGTCTTCCTGTACATTTAATAAACACTTACTGAAAAAAAGTTTAACTAAATTGTTTGTGATGTTTTACTAAACTTATTTTTAACAGAAATGCCAATTAAGCTTTCAATTATTTTCAAAAACTTCAAACAGTCGCCATTTTCGCAAGGGTGGTCCTTTTGAGATGAAACTTGTGGCTCCTTTCTCAGAAAAAAATGGCCTTTAAAATGATGTTTCATTTACCATAGGCTTCCATTAAAACTTTTTACTGCATCCTCCACAGGAGGTTCCCTATAAGTGGTAAAAAATTTCATAAGGCACCAAAAGATAGGTAAAACCATAGTATATCCGTACACAAAATATCAGTTGTTTTTCTTTAACCACTCACCAGATATAATGTTGGTTCCCGACATTTTCAACACCCTGTATATTAGGATTGCAGCTAGGAGCATGGGCTACTTAGGCACAAGCTGGTGTCGTGGGTTTTAGGGATTTTCATCCAATAGTTATTGGGAATATTGAGTTCACAGCAGTCTTAGATTATGGACAACGTTCCAATCAGTGTAAAAAAATAAAATATTAAATCCTCCTAAAAAAAAACTACCTTAACATACTGAGAGATTATGGATACCAAATTAACTCTCTAATAACCTCTTTTACGCGGTAACTACACGTTAACTCTTTTAGTCTTACCTGAACGGAATGTCTGCGAGTTTCCTCTCTTTCACCGCTCTTCTCTGTAGCTTCTTGACGTAATCCTTGCAGGTGTTTTGGCTGAAGCAGCCCCTACTCCCTGTGTAGAAGTGGACCACAACATACTGTACTGGTGGTATGACAGGTAGAAGTCCTACCACGTACTTCTTGGCACCCCAGTCCTTCCGCCTTATCACCTGCAGCGGTTCTTCAAGCATTCCTCTGGAAATCAGTTAAATTTTTTAGGTTCTCTTTCCATACATAGTATACGGAGAAAGTATTGTATTCGTCACAATTGTCGAGTATGATTTTTGGTATAAATATCAGTTTTGGATCCCACTAAAAAAGTGGGTTTCTTAGTAATGACTGTGGTAGTATCGTAGGCAAAGTTTTAGAAATATAAGAGAGTTAATGGGGTAATAAACGTATTTTGGGTCCGAAAACATGTGAATTAACGTTTAAGATTATTATTTTTTTTTTTTTTATAGACGTATGCATAGTAAGGACCCATGAGCCTGATAGATAGGATTTCTGGTTTAAGGCTTCGTTACTAGGTGAAAGATTACTGTTCCTTTACTCGGGATCATTTATTTCTAAACGCTACATGTTTATTATAAACGGGCGTACAATTAGTAATTGAATAATAGCTCTCTAGCATTGGAACTCTTTTATACATTTTAACTTTATTTGAATTATATTATTTAAATGCTGATTTTACAAATCTTTCTTACTTTAATAATATTCAACTAGACAGAATTCAGTTTATTTTTGAAGCCAATATATTGATCACCAACTTATCAATTTTATTTTAACTTGGAAAATTATGGCACAGATTGATTTCAGTAAACAAGCACTTGTCAAGAATCTTATATAATAAATAACGATAACTCCTTCCTCATATCGCCAATAACACACTACAGATGCTACCAATGAATGTTAAGAACATGTCAATCGCCATTTTCTATAAATTAAATATTTCCAGGACATGTAATAAAACATAAAACCAGAAAATCCACGCTTGCGTAATAATGATTATATGGAATCTTTATATAGTAAAATTATATAGTAAGACTGGCTCCAACCAAAGTCATGAATGTTTTACTTCAGGTCCATCACATAGTCATAAAAGTAGCCACATAAACTGTACATCATAAAATGGCATTATTATTACCTTTCAAATTTTATCTAGGGGCTCCTTTCAAACTAGTCCATTTATACAGGGCGATTGGTAGTCAGTTTGACATAGATATTTTGGTGTAAGTACAAAGTAAACTAAGTGTCATGATGCACATAAGAGGTTCCAAGTCAAAAAATTAGCTTCCCAAAGAATTATTTTAAGTTTTTAAGTGGACAAATGTGATAAAAAATGCGCCATTTTATAAGCTTTCACATCATATGCTACATTATTCAGATAAAGGTCTGCTTATGTACGCTTTAATGGTTTGAAGACTACAAAACATGGTTGTCTTTAATATTAAAAACATAGAAAGTCGGCATGTATTAAGCAAAAGTTGTATTTTTCTTTCAGTTTGAACAGTAGACAGTAAAAAAGTTCCCTGTTTTCTAGGATTCAAACCTCTAAAACAAACAAAAGCATATCTAAACCTCAATAATGTAGCATATCGTTGGAAAGCTTATAACATGGCACAGTTTTTAACGTATTTGACCACATTCTTGTATACAGGGTGTAGAAAAATGCAGTAGACCAATGCTTTTTTTATCAAACACCTTAATTTTTATCTTTGGATCTATTAACAATGGAGTTTTTACTATTGATCCTCCACCATTTTCTATTATTGTCATTATTCAAAGTTTAATGCAGAACACGAAAATGTCATAATCTACTCAAATCCATTAACAGGTATTTGATAAATTGCTGTATACAGTTAAAAACATGGTTATTTTAGAAACATTTGAAATTATTCTTTGGGAAGCTAATATTTTGTCTTAAAACCTCTTACATGCATCGACACACTTTGTACACCAAAAACCTTTTGTCACACTGACTACCAATCACCCAGTATAATGTAATGACTCTGTACCTTTGATCAGATATGGTTATTTTAAAATATACAAAGTATATATTATATCTTCAATAAGAGGACAATAACTGAAGATTTACCTTTACAGCCAGTGCAATGTCTTCATAACTATAACATTATACGTATCTGCAGAATACTGATAGGTTATGAGTCCACTGTACTTTCAAGCTGACTATCTGATGTCGTTGAGACACTAAGAAAGCTGTAAATTGTGAACATTTACAAAGATAACACTGAAATATGTCGGAGATAGGATATCGTATTGCTTTTGAATCACTAACTGTGATACAGTATAACGGTAAGAAGAAGCGTTTTTGAAATATAATCGAACTTAATAAAAAGAAGAGGATTTGTGTTCATTTTAGTTATGAGTAGATGAAATAATCTTGCGATATCATAAAAGCAGGTTAATCAATTTCCTGTACTATTGACTGGACAGTTCTTTACGGTAACTTTTATATTGTAAATTTAAAGTTAATTTAATTGAGGTTTACTTTTTACTATATTCTAAAAGTATACTAAAAATATAATACTAACTATCTTCATCAATGGGTTCCGTACTTATGTTTGGGTAAATTAATATATAAGTGTTAGTTCTGTATTAAATGTCCTCGAAATTAAAATATTTAATCTGCAATATTTGCCTTTTTAAAATTTTTACGTCATAACGATTACTGTAAAAAAATATTTTGTTATCACTTTAAGTTAGCTATTAGGATATTTAATAAGTTACTTACAATTAAGTTTACTTTATGTGAAAGGAAGAAGGTGAGCCAATCATAGCAAATTTCTAGATACATAATAGCAAAATACTTGATATTTTGTTAGGTTGGAGTTGAATTCCTTAAGTATTACAATCCTATAATCTCTTTATGTTTGATAACACGAGTATTGTCTTATTTTCTTATTAACTGGTTTCAGAGTTGGGAGAAAGGGTAACCAAAACTTACCACTTTTAATTTATATTTGGTGTTCAGTAAAAGGCCAGCTGACCATATGAGCATAATCCCCACATGTCAACAACAATACAATAATAAAATTTTTTAAATGTAAACATTCCAAGGTAAACATTCTGGTTCAAAAAGTGCAATTATTTTTCTCTCTTGTAATATCGTTTCTTTGTGTAACATAATTCATTTCTCTCTCCTTTTATTTTGACTTATTTCATTTACCTTTTCCTTTTGTGTTCATTAAATAAACCCTTTTTAATTTGACTCTAAATTCTGTGTACCTACTGTGAGAACATTTGGACATTCATGAAACATATCTTCTCGACTAGAGACAACATTCGACCAGATCTTCTTTCAAGACCTTAATAACGTCAAAGTGGTAACATTACTATAGTTCTGTGTTAAAAATTATACCAAAAGTCCAATATTTTCTGTTGTCAAAATTAAATTAATAACCCATATACAGTCCACTTTATTATTTCTACAATAACCTTTTGATTACGCTACATCTTTGGTCCTTCGAGCCGGATTGTTGATTAACCAATTGATTGAACTAATTATGTGGACTTTTGGTGAAGATTAAAGACGAACATTACCTCATAAACTCTCAATATTGTCGTTCCCGCATATTGTGTACTCTCCCTCTACCTCTATCTCTCTCACTCTCTAGATCACAGTAGCCTAATTCACCTTAGCCTATCTTGGCCTACTCCAATGACTGAAAGACTCTGTGACATTATAGTCATTTTGTAAACATTATACCAATCCTTCAGTGTTTATATTTTATGTTGATTGGTTCCGAGTTTTAGGCCCACAAACTATTTAAGTTGAACTAGCCTAATTCATTTTTTTATGTAACGAAGTGAAATAACTTTTTGTGTCTTGTGTATTTTGACTGTATTTTTGTTCAATTATGGCCCCTGTGAACCTAGCCCCGATTAAGGTTTGTACTTATAAAAGACTAACCAAACAATTCAAAGTTAGGCTTGGAAAAATTCAAGAAAATATAGATTATATTAATGAAAGTGCTAAAGCAAACAACCTATCCTCTGTGCAAATAAAATCACTTCATAACTATTTAGATGAAATCAGGAAAAAGCGAGACGACTTTGAACTAAATTTCAGGCGCGTTTTAGAACATTGTTCTGACGAAGAACTCGATGACATTATTCTAAATGATGATGAAAACACTATTGGTGAATTATGTATACATCTTTGTAGTACTATAGAGTCACTAATCCCTATTGACGAACCTCAATCTCCCCCTCAAGAAATGGTGAATGATTCCAACTGTAATGATTTCATGCAACCTGTTCGCCTACCGCAACTTGACTTGAAAACCTTCTCGGGAAACTCAGCCGAGTGGATTAATTTCATCAATCTTTTTGATAGCGCTGTACACCTCAACACATCTCTGTCTCCAGTATCAAAATTTCAATACCTACTAAGCTGTCTAACTGAAGAACCTCTAAATTTAATTAAAAACTTAAACATCAGTGCATCAAACTACGAAATCGCATACAATTTGTTGCGCGATCGATACCACAATCACAGACGCCTAACTTCTTTGCATTTAAATGCTATATTGGATCTTCCCATTGCCACTTCTGAAAATACAAAATCGATACGTGAATTTCTAAATCATTTCCTGGAACATACACAATCACTTAGTGCTTTAGAAAGTGACATCACTACAAATGACAATCCGTTGTTGTCAGCTCATTTGCTCCGTAGACTTGATAGAAATTTACGGCAAAAACTTGAACATTACCGCTCATTCAAATCATGTGAAACTCATTCGTTACCATCTGTGGACGAAATCATTAAATTTCTCAATGAAGAATGCTCAAACAGTGAAGATGCCAACCTACACTCTTCAACTTTTTGTCACAAGGCTAATTCAAAGCCTGCCCTCACATCTAGTAAAAATTACTCCAAACCAAGCACCCGCTATACTGCACTTGTAAGCTCGGGTGATCACTCCACTTCTGTAAAGACATTTCCATCATGCTTTGCCTGTCAACAAACCGATCACAAAATCTACATGTGTAAGGTTTTTGCTAAGAAATCTCCAAACGAGCGTTACAAACTTGTAAAGGAGCAAAATAAATGTATTTCATGTCTTGGCAATCACACACTCAAAGATTGTCGCTCAACAGGCACATGTCTTAAATGTAAACAAAAACACCACACCTTGTTACATTTCGAAAATGTTGTAAAGTCGGTGCAG